ATGATCACGATGGCAGCTATGTTAGATTCTTGTAAAAGTCTTTGCAAGAAAAAGGCAAGAGAAGATTGTGGTACAGCAGGATTTCCATGAACAAATTCAANTAGAATTTTGTATATATTCAACCTTGCGTTTTTTAATTGATATTCTATGCATAATAGCAAGTAGATACAGCTCTCGTACTCAACTAAATATCACGTACTGCGCAGCATATAATAATTGTGTACCATTTTTTAAATTTCCCTTCAAATCCCTGTGAAATGTTTGAGTTTTCTCAATTTCAGATTCCTATCACTTGATCTATTGTACTTATATTCTTTTCGATTGAGCCAGCCAAGCATCATATAAAACTCGTGTAATCTAGGTACTCTTATGGCGTTGTTCCTAATCTCTCGCCACCAGTTCTTCTYGGTSAAGATTATGAACACAGGAAKACCAAGAAGAGAAAAATGTCCGTTTCMGTTGGAGTAGYCTGCGAGGGAGGCTAATCTAGCTACAGATAATTCGATCTCATCAATGGCTATGTCAAAATGAACGTCAGTTTTACATTCGTCGTAATAATGACACACGCATCTTTCCTTACCTTTCTAGTACTAGCACTRTTATTAAATGCAAGACAAGTTGTTGGTGTCAGCGAGATATCACAAAAGCAGAAATGTTTTATTACCGAAGAAATTCGGAAGCATGARCTAGAAACTACCAGCAGCAGACATCCGGAAAAAACAGCAGTTATTAATCCTCCKATAGCCTATGTRAAAAAGGAGCCCATACAAGAAGTTAGTCCAATCATTATATGGGATCCGCTCTCGACTTTCAAGAAGGAATTGGATGTTATTTATTGTCCCTGCTGCCATGTTTTGGATATGAAGAAAAACCCTATGTTTGTCACTTCAGTATGGAAAGATGGCGATACCGTAAGCAGAGCTCCAAGAATAATCTATGATATTAGKCAGCAGATCATAGTTGTTAGCAGGATGTATCGTTGCACTGTGAACAAGAATCACATTATAACATCTACTCATCCTTCAGTATTAGAACAGTTGCGAAATAGTAATATCGATGTTCTGTTTCATTTCACCCACCAAACTGGCTACACCAGTTTTTTTTTTTTAATGTCTTGGCTGAAACAGTGTGTTCTTTTGTCGACAGTGGTATTACATTTCGACAAATAGAAAACATTCTCAAAAATAACTACAAGCTAGGATCTGATTTGSGACGATGTCCCTCACATGATTATCTAGAGGACATTTATGTTGACTATATTTCCTCTAGAGAGAGTGAATACATTAAAAGGATGTGCCGAACTTCAGCAARATGGATCTCGGCTGACCATACATTTAAATCAGTGATGAATGTCGGATATACAGACGAAATAGACAGGAAATGGGTAAAACTGTATAATTCTATTTTCTGTATAATGAATGACAAAGGGCAGATAATGAAATGGCAGTTTACGAAGACCACCAAATCACAGGAAGTGCAAAACCTATTTCTAGAGCTGGCTGAAAGACTGAGATCGACTAATACTGAAATTGAAGCCATATATGTTGACAACTGCTGCCTCTTGAGAGATAGTTTACAAACATWTTTTAACAATAAACAACTAAYCGTCAAACTGGACTTATTTCATGCTATTAACCGTTTTTCGTCTACCCTCTCAAAACGCCACCCAATGAGAAATCGGCTATTACGAGATTATAGAAATGTGTTCAGRTGTAGTGGTGATTATGGAAAGAAAAGGGAGAAAAACACACCGAGTGAAAACAAACTYAGTAAAAACCTCAGATTGTTTAGAATAAAATGGAGCCGTATGCGTTACAAGAACAAGATAATTCTTACAAGAAAAAGTTTGAAGGCACTAAACAACATCCAGAAACACATAGAGAAAGGTTGTTTATCCCACATCCCGCCAGGTGCAGGTACGAACAGAAATGAGAGGATGCATCGCACGCTACGCAAGGTGACAAAACGGGACCGCTTGGGTGTTCACCTCGCATACTGTATATTTCTTCGAACATTTTTCAGAATAAACAATGCGAGAGGAAATTGCAAAGAACTTGAACTACCTAATAACTGGATTGAACATTTTGGCTTTTCAAATGAAAGTAACCACCTTAATGCCTACGATGCTTCAATTCCGTATCCACTAGTTGATGATCTCCAGATCGCACAATGTGCCGCACGTGCAAAGCTGCTAATTAATCTTTACAACACTGTAAAACTTAAAGGATTCAAAGAAAACTATGAAAATGTTATACGAACACTCACAAGCTTCAAAGCCAGACGACCTGAAGACGTTTTGTCAGATGATGACTCAGATGCTATATTGAAAGAAAGAGCCTCGGGGATGGCGTTAGAGATTGTAAACATTGAAGGAGACGGCAATTGTTTTTTTACAACATTAGCTTTTCAACTTATTRACATGTATAACTCCCAACCAATGACTCARCACCATTTAAGACAGATTGGAATGTCAGATGATACCACACGTGRTGAGCTAGCTCTTCTTTTAAGAAATCTTGTCGTTCATGAATGGCTACGACACCCTGAACGTTAYGAAAGCGCGGSAAACAGCAGCAATTCATTTATTGAAGAAGCGCGGCGCTTCCTTGCCTCTGGACACTACACCAGCAGCCTTGGTGATGCAATGCCGCTAAGTGCAGCTAATGTTCTTCAGATACCACTTGTAATCGTAACTTCTGTCGTAAACTGGCCTCTCGTTATTGTATCACCAGAAATGTCTATGTCAGACAATCCATTGTATCTAGCTTATAATCAAGAAGGGAACGGACATTATGATGCTTTAAAGGAATYCGTAAATAAAGTGGAAAAAGAAACAAGTGAGAACCAACCAGYCGAAGTAAAAAAAAMCGTACGCTGTCGCTGCGGAGTTAACTTCAWGTTCAAATCAAGTGAAAAACTGTTTTGCAYAAAATCTGCTTTCACCGAAAAAGGCAAAAGGAAGTATTCATCAYGTTSTGAATGTCTTAAGAACGGTATAAAGTGTGGAACGGCGTGTGGATGCAAGAGGTGCGACAATGGAARAGTACCAACGATAAACCAAAGTAAAGCGAAGAGGCGAAAAACCACARAGAAATTTTTCACGTACAACTCTCTCCCCAACTCCAGGAAAAGAGCTGCTTCCTTTATAACGTCAAGGGGTGAAAAACTGAAAAAAGTTCAAAAATTCGCCGTTGCAGAAATACTCCTCCTGGAAATGTGCCTGCTTGGACTTGCTAAAACAGGAGTCAACTTAAAATCGTTATGCAAACTATATAATGCCTGCATCATTTTTTTAAACAAAGAAAACAATGGCCAAATGCAGGAACGAACAGAGCAAGAAATTAAAAAAGAATTAGTTCGTAGRCAAAAAATGAGTGATATATAGTAACTGGCATGTCTTTAATAACAAATACGAAGTAATCAAATTTTCCACTTACAAAATTATAATCATTATTATTATATTACTTCATGTTACCATAGTAACTATGTATGGACTCTAAAACGTTAATCTCAAATATATACTATAAAACATACATGCTACTAGGATAGTTATAAATATAAATGAAAGCAATTTGTAAGACGTTGTTATATCAGTTTTGTTGAAGTTATGTAAGTTCACTCAAATCCATGATAGAGTTATCTATTGAAAAATGTAATAATTTGTTTTTAGTTTTTTATTATTATTAAATGACGATTTCTGTTGTCTGTATTTAAAATAATTGTTCTGTGGAACATTTATAAGCTGTAGTGTGCACAAAATTTGATTTTGATTTTTCAACTTCTCTTGCAATATTGTTTATTGATTCTCTGCGGCTTCACAAAATACGCACTCGAGTTCTATAAACGACTTCCGAACTCCAACATCCAGAAATTATTATCATTTTAGAAAAAAGCTGAAAAATGTGATAAAAAACTGATAATGCATAATAAACTTCTAATGAGCATGTGCATTGTGCCACAAATTWAAAGAATTTTGATCCCATACGGAAGAATGGCAAGTCTATGCTATAGTGGCATGTCTGCACATTGATTCAAACTGATTTAAAATCTAGAGACCTAGCTTTGTTATATCAGAACTGATTAAAAGGAAACATCAGTTC